TTCAGTTCGAAATCTACTTTTCTCACCTGATCAAGAATTGTATTCGGTCTGATAAGATCCGATTCAATCCAATGTTGTTGTTGTCCAACTTTCACAAAATATTTTCTTGGTTGACATTGAACGACGATTCCAGCGTGCCTAAAAAACGAAGTTTTCTTTGAGAGCGAGTCATTGTTAATCTGCGACAAACCATTTCCCATCATCGAGTTGAACTTCAACATTGGAGCCATTCTGTAGACATACGGTTTTGTTGGAAATTATTGTTGATTCGTTTCGTTTGCGTTTCATCGTGATTTGAAAGAAGCTTTCTAATCAAACTTGTTTCCAGCATAGCCCAAACAAAATAACATTAGATAAAGGAAATCTAAAATAAAGATCACGTTTTTTTTCTCTTGTTTTTCCTTCACTCTATTCTATACGATTTTGACTTGACGCCTATCCATTTACGACATTAGACGATCACTACGAGATTTTTTTCTATGCAAGAAAAGAACGAGAAAAAACATTATATACAATGCAATGTATGCGTAAAAAAAATTTGTTGTTGATGTTGGCGATGATGAAAAGATTCATTTCGTTCTCTAACCAATCAGAAAAAAGCTTACTTTGAAGATATGAAAGTAGTGGCAGAACCAGCATTTTATGGGGTGCTGGATCTTCGTTTCAGAGCATGGGTCCCAGTTAAAACTCATGCGTGATAATATTGGTGACAAACTATGAGTTTCTATCGAGCGATTTTTGCGATCGGAATTTGCTAAAAAAATTAGCATTTTCCTGAGCCCCCCCAGAAAATATTCAATACTGTCAACACTGCCTTACTTTTGTGAATGACACAGCAGGCTACATTTAATTTCATCGACAGAGTTCAAATTTCATGTCAAAATGCATTTTGACATGAAATTTGAACTCTGTCGATGAAATTAAATGTAGCCTGCTGTGTCATTCACAAAAGTAAGGCAGTGTTGACAGTATTGAATATTTTCTGGGGGGGCTCAGGAAAATGCTAATTTTTTTAGCAAATTCCGATCGCAAAAATCGCTCGATAGAAACTCATAGTTTGTCACCAATATTATCACGCATGAGTTTTAACTGGGACCCATGCTCTGAAACGAAGATCCAGCACCCCATAAAATGCTGGTTCTGCCACTACTTTCATATCTTCAAAGTAAGCTTTTTTCTGATTGGTTAGAGAACGAAATGAATCTTTTCATCATCGCCAACATCAACAACAAATTTTTTTTACGCATACATTGCATTGTATATAATGTTTTTTCTCGTTCTTTTCTTGCATAGAAAAAAATCTCGTAGTGATCGTCTAATGTCGTAAATGGATAGGCGTCAAGTCAAAATCGTATAGAATAGAGTGAAGGAAAAACAAGAGAAAAAAAACGTGATCTTTATTTTAGATTTCCTTTATCTAATGTTATTTTGTTTGGGCTATGCTGGAAACAAGTTTGATTAGAAAGCTTCTTTCAAATCACGATGAAACGCAAACGAAACGAATCAACAATAATTTCCAACAAAACCGTATGTCTACAGAATGGCTCCAATGTTGAAGTTCAACTCGATGATGGGAAATGGTTTGTCGCAGATTAACAATGACTCGCTCTCAAAGAAAACTTCGTTTTTTAGGCACGCTGGAATCGTCGTTCAATGTCAACCAAGAAAATATTTTGTGAAAGTTGGACAACAACAACATTGGATTGAATCGGATCTTATCAGACCGAATACAATTCTTGATCAGGTGAGAAAAGTAGATTTCGAACTGAA